TGTTTTCTCACAACAATCCCCCCCGCAATGGCCCCGACCAAAGCTGGTTAACAAGATGAATACAGAAATGTAAGACGACTCTTCTTGGAAATCAAAGTTTGTTTAAATCACCTCCCCATTGCCCACAAGACAAATCCCTCCCCGAAGATCAGCGTGTTTTCTCCTGCAGCGCGGAAGCGATGGAAAACGATTGCTCCAATTGCTGCGGCGCTGTAATCCTGCGGATCGGCGTTCAATTCCCAGTACGCACGTGCATTTTGAAAACAATATCAAATTGGCTTTCCCATACACCCAATGAAGTCCCCCCCCCACCCCCCGCCCCCACTTACCTAGTCCACAACAAAGCCCGTGTTTAGTTCAAGTAGCAATATTTGTAATTTTGCCCCTAGGAGTAACTGATCACACGCGTGCACACACACACACACACACCTCGGGTGTATGGGTGTCGCAGATGTTAACTGCCGCACTGGTCGCGTTCCACATTCCTTGGTAACCAAATGACGGAACGCGTCCGAGAGGATTTACGACCGAGGAGATGGAGCGATGAAACCAGTTCATGTGCTGGTGGCCAGTGGATTACTACACGGCAGGATCATGGGAAGTGGTGTTGACGGCTTGGAGAGGCCTTCTTCATCCAGCAGTGGAATGACCATGGCGAATGACAACGATGGGTGGTGCAGCAGCTCGCGCTCCTCAACCCACAACAGCAGAAATCAACGTAAGGTACAGATTCTGGTGCGAGGTCAGCTCAAGCTCAGCATCCGTCTGTGACCGGTAAAGCAAGTAACCATTTATGGGAAGTCAAGCCGTGCTTTTTCCTTTTGTGATACCCCCCCCCACCGCCCCCACCGCCCCCACCATGGCAATGTGGAATTCTAACCGTTGATCTAGAGCCACCAATGGAGGAGGAGGAGGAGCGTTGCCCCATTAGTCATTCGAGCAGGGAGACTCGGACTTAATCATGGGTTTAGTAAATGTGGAACACTTAAGGAGTGTGTGGATTGCCCTTTGAGTCTCAACCAGGCCTTGCTGCCTTTAGTCTCCCCAAGTGCTGATGTGCACTCGCTGCGCGAGCTGCTCGTGTTGTTGCCAATTTGTAAATAAGGAGAAGACCAGGGACAAATTTCAGGAGACCACTTGCCGCCGACGCGCGCACACACAAAAATCTAAAATTGCCCGATAGAAATATATAGCAGGGGAAAGCGGCGTTAGCAAGCACCGATTAAAGTCTGCGCAGCACGTGGGGCCGATTTAGCCAGCTCCAGTGCCTGCCACTCCTCATTTCAGACTCGGTTGTGCGAGCGGTAACCCAGACCAGTTCAGATACCGATTAACATTACCAGTACCACAACCGCAAAAACAAATCACAGCGGCAATACATCACAACCGCAACAACAAAAAAAACCTACGCACCAGTAAGACGAACGGCCGTTACCACTTTGGATCACGTTTTGCATTAAACATCGGCGGTAGCGCTGGCTACCGCTACGTGGTTATGTGCTGTGAGATTCCCTCAAATCGTTCACAGCTTGCACACACACACACGAAAAAAAAAACCCCGACTTAATTGAAATGCAGTGCGTTAAGGTCAGGCGCTCTGGGACATCTTGTTTGCAAAATGTGTGCCGCGTGAATGAAGATGACGACGGCATTGACGTGTATTATGGCTGCGGCAAAGTAGAACAAGTGGTTGTCGTTCTATTATTGTTCAAATTAAAAACCGGGGCCACCTATGCCTAACAACACGTCACTTGTGCGCAGTCTTCCTGGTGCAACAACAGCAGGCAGAGTCGCGAAATGACGTTTAACCACTTGTTTACACAAAAAAATAAAGGAAAGTATTTGGCTTTTAATACATTTTGGATAAGCGGAAGAACTTGGAAAGTGGCGATGCACAGCGGCTTGGTTTCTAATGAAAAAAAAAAACTTTCAAAAATCATTGGTTCATTGGAATCAGTTGAGCAGCTTATCACGGACAAGCATTAGAAATTGATCATATTCATCGATGTCGTTTGCGTAGATTGGGTACACGTACGTTTGGGGCGTGGTAGCAGTGGGGGAGCGCACTGCACTGGGAACTCTGCAACGCGAGTTAAAGTTCCACTCGCGGCCTAAATCAGTGACGGATATACGAACCAGTCCCTGAGCCTCCCCTAGGTCAACTTGGCCTCAAAACAAGTACCTGGCATGTTGTGTAAACATCAGCGCTCGGGTTGCAAAGGCAGCTGCCGGGCGTGGTGCTCATCACACCATCCGCTCGTGCCGCTGTCGTAGGTGCTCGTTAAAAGCACTTGCCGAAGTATGTCAAGGCTATATGGGGGAACTCTCCTTTTTTAAATAAATGTAGTAGTGCGGTGGGGGTATTCTTGGATTGCAAAAAAAAATAATCAGTGCCAAGAGAAAGATTTTACACATTAAATATAACAAAAGAGAGAAAACGCTCAAACTCTACCTAGATAAGCCAGAAGGCGCTTTTGCTTTACTGCCTCTTACCACACACACACACAATTGCAGGAGAGTATCTTGCACATCTTTGGGATAGTTACGTGGGATAGAGACGTCGAAATGACGATCATCATCATGGCCACAGTGCTTCGTGTCCCACGTAAAAACACTTGTCTAAGAGGATGTCTAACTCCGCCTTGATGTGTTGGATCCCACACCTCTTCAGCGATGGCAAACAATCAACCTTTCAAGGCTTTCGGACCACGTAAAAATATATTCCTTATTTAAATATAATTTATCTTTAAAACCAGTCGCCAAGCGCAAGCCCAACATGCCAAAGCGGCCACAGCAACAAACGGTGCTACCGAAGGGGTAAATTGAAAATAATTGAGGCGTTGGAATGAGAGAGGCTAAAATACGAAATTTGGTGAAAATAAAGCAACGGTTGCCGGGAATTCCATTAAACGGGAATTCTAAACAAAGGGCGGAGCCTTACCCACCACACAAGTCAATGCAGAGTGGATCAGCCCACTCCTAATCGGTTAGAGAATAGAAAACACGGGCGTATATATTGTAAAGTTAAACAATAATAACACTGTAGGGTACGAATGATTAAACGGTTTACATAAAGATGTTAACTTAACATTTACATTGATACGTACCCATTTAAGTATTTTATAAGTCTTTAACCATCACCAATGGTTTAAAATGTCAAGGCGTAAATGTTAGCTCTTCATTGTGTATATTAGAAACGCATGTTAAAATAACATATTGCTGGAATTTGTACGTATGTAATGCACTGCAGTCTTGTAGAGTGTATCGCGTGGGTGATATTCGAAACTTGCGAGGCAGATGGGGAGGTGTTTTTGCTGCCAGGCGGTCAGGGTGGGGAACCGCTTGAAATATGGGTGCGATCTTTATTTCAAAGGCAAAAATTGACCTTTGCCGAGTAGAAATTTGTTCATGTCAAGACCCACATTAGGCTACAATTCTTGAATGTCAACCTTCAAGGTTATGGGGCTTACAAGGTCGTCCAATCACAGAGCAATCACGGTTCAAAAAAATCAGAATTTACTCTTCTCCCCATGCGAAGTGCCGTTTTGAAACGACGATGATAATTCCGTAATAATTTACAGCCCTTTGTTAAAGCGACTGCTGAATGAGCACCTCCACACCTCTGATGGATGTAGGCCTCGTGTCAGTCATATTTGACCATACTTCATCACGCTGGTCAATACTAGTTGACGGGGGGAGGAAAATCCTAAACCGGCGCGGATATCACTCGACACTGGTGATAAGCCATGGGTCGGGAATCAAACTGAGGTCGCTGGGTTCAGAGTCCAATGTGGTAACCATTATACTTACTTACTGCTACACCCCACGTACAAGCATCGTGAATGGATTAGCAGGCCTATTATCCCAGGGTAGGAAAAGTAAGGTACCATGGGTGCAGAGAATAGTGAATAAAATAAACATATTTGCAGATTGACATCAACGAGGTGCAAAAAGGGCTTTGTCGTCATCCCTCAAGTTACCCAACTTCATTCCTCATTTACATTCCCGCAAGGTCTAAGTCCAACCAGCCAATGCCAACGTCCTTTATAACCGCAACGATGGTCACCCGCTGCCTTCAACGAGACCACATCCCCGTCAATGATTGCGCCGTTTCAGGCCACGAGGGGACAAGTTTTTCGGGGGTTTTTTTGCAGGGGCACGCATTCTCCACAAAGCGTAAAAAAAGCGCAGCCCTGCAATCACTTGCTCACGTCACTGCCAGCAGGAGGGGGTCTCTTCTCTCTACGTAGGCAGCTTCATTATTAGGAGGAGACCCTCAACTGAATGTTACAGCAGAATATATTTGGCCTTCTCTTCCACGCCGGCCAGACACCCTCACACGGAGACGGGAGTACCCCACGCGCGGAACTTGCCCATCAACTACCTCTGGCGTGCCCATTTGTTTTGAGGCGGACCGGGGGAGGGGGGGGGGAACTGGAGACTGAACCGGTCCACAGCGTGTCAGCCACGACACCGCAGCAGTGTTAAAACACACACACACACACACACCTGTAAACAAGTGGTCAAATGTCTCCCCTGGAGTGGTTACAAAGACAAAGGTCCCCCCGTATAGCATTAAGACTTGTTTGGGGAAAGTTATGTTAGAGAGCGCCTATGAAGGTCGGAATGGCACACGAGGGGGTGGGTGGACAAGCACCATGCCTCTGGAGGTGGTACACTCATCCATTGACAGTTGTTGAAACGTCACATTCCCATGCCAAAAGCCATTTCTCCCTCCATAGTTTTGAGACGCTGTTAAAATTCCCACAGAGAAGAGAGACGAACTTAAAATGCTAAAAAAAAAAATTCATCCCCCAGGAAGTGCCGGTGGGCCAAATGAAATCCCCCCCCCCCCACCCCCCCCCCAGGCGGGGTCATCGACGTGACCCTTACCGGTTGGCACGTCCTACGACGGCACCACGGCAGTGCCGCCCCAGCGTTGGGATGATGGCCAGCACGGGGCCGGACCGCTCGACCGCTCGCGGATCAACACCCCTCACCTCAGGTAGTCCCTGCGGCACAGGATGAGGTTGGCGCGCGTGTAGAGCGTGGAGCCGACCTCGCCCAGGCGGCAGTCGCAGCAGGCGCACTTCAGGCAGTCCTCGTGCCAGTACTTGTCCAGCGCCTTGAGCAGGTAGCGGTCCTTGATCTTGCGGTTGCACCCTGCGCAGCCCTTGGGCTTCCCGTCTGACTGCACCGACAGCATTTGGACGGCTGCGGATGCACGCACAGGAGAAAAAAAAAACCCGTGGAAGAGAGCGGTCGGTAGGGGCGGACGCGCGCACGCGGGCGTCCCGTTAGCAACGACATTGCCACGTGCTCCCCAGCCCATACCGCCCGCCCGCCTGCCTGCCCCGTCACAGAAAGCGCCGGGAGGGAAGGAGGGGAGAGCGGGGGGCGGCTTCGATTGGCCTCGCGGTGTCCTCGCTACGCGGTGGGGGGGGAGGTGGTGGTGGTGTACGCTAAGAGAGACTCCACCTAGAGCACGGGGCTCGGGGCAACGTGGCGAGGAGGCGCGGCCGGGAAGGGAGAGCGGCGAGGTTTATGCCGTCGATTAGGATTTGCCGGCAGGCGGCGGGAGATATTCGGAGCGCGTTCGAGCGTGGCACCTGTGGCAACACGGCGGCGGGCGGCGGCGTCAGGCGGCGTCTCGTCTTCCGCGTCGCGACGCGCCATCTCCGTGCGCAGTGCAGGTCACAAATGAGACCCATCCATCTTTCAGAGCGTAAACCCTATTTGGGGAAGCTGCCAATCTGTCAATTTAAAATGATTTACTGTTGCACATTAAGTGGCATCCGTGTTTTGGGAGCGGATGCCGCAGGTCTCAGACTACTGCACGAAACTTCCCATCCAACAGCGCCCCCCCCCCCGCCTCCCAGTGCCCCCCCCGCCTCCCAACCTCGCACCCCCCCCGCCTCCCAACAGCGCCCCCCCCGCCTCCCAACCGCGCCCCCCCCCGCCTCCCAACCGCGCCCCCCCCCCGCCTCCCAACCTCCGTGTTGCACGTCCGTCGATAATGCGGCGTGCGGCCAGTGGACCACAGCCGTCATGTTTACCGCCACCTCCGCCTCCGTATGTACACGTCAATAATAATAATAATAGCGATTACTAGGACGACTTAAAAAACACGAGCACAGCAGAGGGAAAAGAACCGATCCATACCCCCGTAATTGCCAACAAATGATACCCCCGCGCGGTGGTGCACAACCCCTCGCGCTGTTCACCCAATGTGCCAGCTTTTTCAATTCCGCAACAACAACAACAACAAAAATTTTACCCAATTATCACGTCTCTGTTCAAGGGGAATGACGCTCTTAGAAGAAATTAAGTCAACAACGATACACAACAGGATGCAACTCTTTAGTGCACGATACGAGCGCTTGGACTTTGGTTTTTTTTAAAGAAACACTGTAAGAGAACGGATTTAAACCATGGCGAAAAGTGCAACGATTGAGAAATTTGCGGGAAAGTTGGAAGAATTTCTCTTTTCCAACCTCCAAAAAGCACCTTTGGAGCCAATTACATCGTTTACGAAGCCCTGTTCACTTAAAGTGGACTGAGGAACACATCTCATTGCCTACACCTCAATTTGTCTACCGCTTCAATTGCAGTAGAACTCACATTTGCATTTATCACCCAGATTTCTTCCTTCGAAGATATGAGAAAATAATACAACTTAATTTCTTATTGGTGTCGAGCCTAACTGCCTACGACTGAAAAAGGGCCTTACAATTTTGGCACATTCCATTTTAAAAAGAAAAATCACAAAACACCGTGACGTTTTTAAAAAAAACTGGCCGCTTGCATTTCATTATCTTCCAAATTTAGAACACACGTGCACGCATATTGACACAAGATGAATAAGTTCATTCAATAATGAGTGAACTAAAATAAAACCCGTTCGGTGGAGCAGCTGCGCAACACTTGCTATATATACACACACACACGTGTGTGAAATGTGAAAAAAAGACTAGTTCCTTGACAAAGTTAAAGCACCAGTGACAGCAATATACACCCAAAAAAACCATCTCTTTGCAAGCTGCATCGATAATGAGGATACAGTAACACTTCAGTACCACGGCTAAAATTAACGAACGGCACCTTTGGTGTTACATGAAGTACAATTAAATAGTTGCTCTGCATCGCGCGTTCGGTTAACAATTTGCGCGAGCGCGATATCTGGGCTCTCGCAAAAAAGGGCCATAGGTAAAATTTGCCAAAAATGGGAGGGAGGTTTCATTTGTATTTCCTAAAAAGTGATTCTTTCAGAATCACCTTGAGAAAGCGCCCTGCTACATTTTTACAAATTGCATACATCTGCGGCATCTTCTGTTCCGCCTCTACGAGCGCAGTTAAATTAATAGTTCAGTCGGCGGGTGAAGAGATTAGATATTGCAGGAGTCTCGTAACCATACCCATGTCCATAATGTAACGTCTGGTGATGTAAAAAAAAGTCAGTTACAAGCTTTCCACACCGCTCAAATAAGGCTTCAGCACTCGCACAATTGTTACACACACGCATTACGTAACAACTTTGACCTCATGACAGTTAGCCGCTCACTTAATTCAAGGAACTTCATGTGCCAATTAATGGAACTGTAGTTGTCAGCCAGCAAAGCTGGATACTTAACAGCTATTTCGCTGTGACTGTTCAACCTGAAGACGGAAGCTTGCCTTGCCTCCGAAACATCGTGATTTTATTTAGTTGTTTACATTTATTTTACCTACGTGACTTTACCGAAAAACAAAGAGTATGAATTCTTGCAGTCACAAAAGCTTCAAATCTAGAATTAATGTCCCATACATATATAAATATAAAACACCCGCAATCGTTTTTTTTTTTTCAAAAACATCAATCTCAGCAGCTGCGCTGTTATTAAAAGGTAAACTATTGAGTCCATGCAATACTTATTTGGAGAGAAGCTTAAAAGTTGACGGAATGCGAGCAACAAAGCGTTTAAGATTTAAATACATATTTCACGAAGACAGTGGAGCATGGGATTTTAGTAAGTTCCCTTGATACACTTGTGATGTGAACGATTATCAAGACGGTGTTTGCTGGTATACATTTTCTCGGAGTACATATACACACACACCATTCGCTACGAACCGGATCAAACCAAACATTTAATGTCCATTTAAGCACTAAATTAGAAGGGTATTCTGGTATTTTACAAATTATCATTGTTCGTGACAAATTAAGCTGTTGGTTATCTGCAATTTTAACTTAATATTTGTATAGTACCAATTCACAATTTGATCTCGTTCTATAAAAAAAAACCCACAAATACCTACATTTTCAGGACATCAGTACCTCGATCCCATGAGGCACCAACACCGATAGAAGAGCTTTACCTTCAAGGAGTGCCCTGCCCAGGATGTTGTGACCAAAATCCTTAAAAAGCTTTTTTTTTTTACCCGAGAAAAGTACCTGGAGAGCGCCCACACAGGCAAGCGCCAATATCTAAATATTTTCACACACACATAGGTCAGTGCCCTACTTGCTGTACTGCTTCACGGCAAACCTCACAATCATGCAGGCTGCGAGTCGCACACGCACGCTCGAGATTAGCGGCGCGCGCTTACACTTAACAAACTTACATTTTACACACCTGGCTCGGACGCAGCTCACAAATGAACCCACAAACATAAATGCACTCGACTCGTTTGAGTCAGGCGCTCGCGAAACGAGTTGTTGGAGCGGTGGGTGTTGGGAGACGTGGGGGGGGGGGGGGAAGGGGGTTAACACAGTTCCCTCTCTCTCCAAAGTCTTTTTTTTGCGCAAGCGACAGCAATATTCCATGTAACGCTAATTGCACTTGATAAATCGGGCCTCATTATCGGCAGAAAGGAGGGGTGTCCGTGGAGAAGCGTGCAACAGCTGCCGCTTGTTGACAAAACAAGTCTCGCGGGAGGCGCGCTGAAGCCAGCAGGCACGGCTCGCGCGCCGCCTCCAACTCGGCAGCGCCACGCCAAGGGGATCGGTGGTCCCGGAGGGGACTGGGAACCCGCAAAAAGGTGGTCCCAAGTCCCTGGCCAACTACAGTCAACAACCTCCCGCCAAATCCACCAACCCACCCCACACACCTCCACTCCGCCGCCTGTGTTCCCCTCTCAAACGAGCTCCTCTCGCTCAAGGAAAAAAAAAATCCCTCGTTTACCTTGTCAAGTGATTTTGAACACGATGTTGCGATAGGCGTATTTTGAAAATGTGCGCGCGCACACACACACACTGACATGTGCAGACACACACACACACGAGAAACTTTGTTTTGCATTCAATGCGCTTCGTGCGCTACACTGATGGCGTCGAATGTGTAACGTTGAGCCCAATTTGCGCAAGTGTGGCGAACGGAAACCCAAGCATGTAATTGGAGGCGCTTATATGAAAAAGGTGCTTGTTTTGGGCTTTTAAGTAAAGACATTTGGAAATGGTTGGCGATTTATTTTAAGTGCTCCAGCTATGATCGCTTTGCAACAAAAAACACAACAAATGCTTGAACGTGCGTCGCGGCGTTTACGACGACACCCCAGACCCGCAATAGCGATGTTACCAAGTGCACTTAACGTAATTATTACACATAATCTGATTAGGCAAATGCTCACAGGAGGCACGCTTATTTATAAATCACTCTTAAGGAGAGATTCTTAGGATGGGCTATGGCAAGGACATATCCGAGGACATAAAAACGCAAAGAGCCTGCCCTCGCACGTGCATTATCGACGGGAACGGGAAGAGATTCACCTGTTTAGCCTTACAAACAAGCGCCATGCGTGTGTACCTATTAGGGCACGGCGCTAATGTCCGTAGTAAAACAGCTGCTACACACAGAATTGGCCTACAAAGAATGCCAGGAACGCGACAAGCAAGATACAACCAAGCCAGGGGTTGTTGGTGGGATCGTACCCACAAAGCATCCACGCCTTACTCCACCTCCCGCAATAATAAAACGAAAGCTAAACAACAACAAAAACACGACTCGCCACGTGCAAACGGTGCTCGTACGTTTTGCAGCAATAAGCGTGACATCCGTCATCATTTCTAAACAAATGCACGGCTAAAAAAAAAAACCCCGTTACTCGGAGCACACCTGTAGACCAGCACAGTTGTCTTCTATAATCCAATGAGCCGCAAATTACCGGGAGACAGTCACCACCCCCCCCCCACCACCACCATCTCGTCCACCAGACCACTTCCAAACCCAATAAGCAGC